GAGAAACCTTGGCCGGGTAACCTCTCATACATGTTTAGGCTAGGGTAATCCTGGTGCATAGACCATCCTAATGTTTATAGCTCACGATTTCATGTTAGAGAAATGAGAGGATATAAGGGATGTGTGATTATGTATATAATGAAAAAGGAAATACGGTTATCTGTATTGTGACCCTAATGATGAAAATCATGAGTTAAGCATTATTTCCATGTGAAAATATGTTAATAGATCATGTGTTAGTTCTTTCTTGTATGAAAGTTTTGTTATTAATCATGATCTTGAACATGTGTTTATTATGTCTGAAAATATAGATTTTATGTTCTTGAGTAAATGTGGTTTAGAAATTGAATTATAACTTGCCATTTGCATTTGAATTAATTGACATGCATAAGTATGAGTTCGCTAAACTTTGATTATTGAGTTGTTTTATTTACCCCATTATTTTCAATGTTACAGGAAATAGCTCAAGAGGATCAAATAGAGAAAAACAATCATAAGCATAGGATTTGACTCCTAGTAGTAGGCTCTTTTACCTTTTAAGTATGTATGTGTATAAGTTAAATAATATTGCCAACTAGGACTAATCCATTTGGAACTTACTTGTATTTTGTTTTTGTAATTATAAGCATATTTTAGGGCCTCAGGATATATGTATGAGAATTGTGATCTCTATAGCAAAGCCAAAATACTAGTGGCAAGTGAAAATCGAGTATATATACATGTTTTTGTGAATTATTTGCTGAAATGTGATATTTAGGCTCCCCTTCTGTTTTTGAGATTAAGGGTAAGCATTAAAAATATAATTTATTAGTATTATATGAACGTGTGGTTGTTGCACAGATCTGTTTTAGTTTGTTGTACATGGTTTAAGTAAGTTTTTGCTTTTGGTATTGAGATTAGACACACTCAAATTTTATATTAAAGTGAAAATTTGAGAATTTTAAATGAGTATCCAAATTTATATTGAGAAATAGATTGCGTGTGAAACTAAAGTCATTACTAGAAGTTTAGAAAAAGCTTTTTGTAGGTACCTAAATTGTGTTTAGTCGGACTTCAAACGAAGATTTAAGGCACATTGAAAGGTGACTGAATGCTGTCAACTTGACAACAGAAATTTTACTGTCATGGAATGTGCAACACGATGTCGTGTTAATATGCAATGAGCACCAGCACATGGCTAGAGGCTCACGAGCCATGGCGCGGAGTTCAATAAGCCACGTGTATACCTCTAATTCTGTAAAATGTTTCCTGTTTTCTAATTTTAAGTAAATGCATTGAACTTTTTAATAATCCCATGATTTTGCATAGTAATAAAACTCTAATTTCTCATTTGTAAGACCTTTTAAGATTGTTTAACTTTGAAAATTGAGATCCTATCTTTATAACTCAGTTTGTGAAATTTGACAAAACTTGTTGCGTATTGTGAGTTAATCTCTTAAGTAAACAAGATTGGAGTCAATGAGATTACAATAAGAGAGAGTTTATAAGCATCAATGGTCCATTCCCGATTGGTGTCGGCAGTCCCTGTCCTAATAGAAGTCGACCTTGTGGTCCCTATTGTTGCTTGCACCTTAGTCTCCGGTTCGATCCTGATGGAAGTCGACCTTTTAATCTCGATTGGTGCCGATCAACAAGTCCCATCAATGATGGCGGCAACAGTTCAATCCTAGTCACCACTGGCAATCTGGTCATATTTAAAACCGCTGACAGGCTAGTCAAATTACACAAAAAATTATGGTAGGATTTAAAATAATAAAGGGTTTAGAACGGATTTTAAATTATAAAGAGACTGAGATAGAACTTGAATTAAATCTATACATTTTTAATTACCCAAATAATAAATTTGACTCAAATTTAATTTAAATTTAAATCTCTATACATCCAACAGAGCATTAATTTAAAGGAAATTATGAAAGTTCCTAGATATGAAGATAATTAAATAACATATAGTTACATATCTGTAAAGATATCTACACCACCTGCATGTAAATTTATTTTTTTCTCTTAGAATACATTTACACTCGCAGAAAAGAGCACTAGTGTCACATGGACTGATTGATCCTCCTATTTCTAAAACGAAGGTTTTTTGCATACGTACTTTAAAAAAAAATTTATAATTAATTGTGGTTTTGTTTCTTGAAATTTTGATTGGAAGACGGGGTCTCCCCACCTCTTTTCTTTCTATTTCTTAATTAAAATCATTGATTTTATTTTATTAAATGAATTTATTTTAATCATAAATTTAATGAATGGTCATATTTGAGGAAAGGACGGAAAAGAAGTGGGAGATCCCTCCTCCAATTCAACCAAAATTTAAAAATAGGACTAGATTTGCCAATTCACTCAACTCAACTCAACTATAAGCCGTGAGTCTATTCAGGGATACATCAAATCAAGACATCAAACAATTATTGTACATTCTCTCCCCTTCTCCGGTTGCTTCCATTCTTTATAGGGAACCCCAGCCCTTCTCTCTTTCATTCTAGGCGATGTGGAGCGTAGTTGTTAGTATGACATGTTGTTCATGGTTTATTCTTATTAGCTCACTTTGTGTTCTTTTTTTCTATTTTTCTTTATTTTTGGTGATATTTTTTGGCAGTCTCCGTGAATTTTTTATTAATAATGTAAACATATATTTCATATTACTTATCTATATTTTTCTTGATCAAATATTTTAATTTCAGTTTAAATTTACCTCTAAAAAATGCTTGATGATCATAGTTTAAAACACAAGACATTTTATTGTTATCTCTAATATAAATTTTCGTTTGAAAGAATGACAATAAAATACTTTTAACATATACAAATTATAATAGGTACTATAAAATATAATTCTCATTTTTTAGTTTTAAGAGACTTGTCTGGCATTTTATTTTTTTGGAAGTAACAAATTGTCTTTATTATATTTTGACTCTCCCTCCACTTGTCAAGCACTCCGTCCTCTCGTCTCCCATCATCATTGGACGCCAGATGGAACAGAGAGATGGTGACACCTTTGGAATTATAATTCAATTTGCCTCACAGATCAAAGCACATATTGTAATTTGGATAAGTTGGGTTTTTAGGCGATCTTTGGTTTTGGGTTGATGTTGATGTTGAAGGAAATGGTTGCAGATCTAATATTAGCTTCTTCGTTTTCCATTCTTCTTTGGATTGAGATGAATTTGTACCATTTGCAATGCCTTTCCTGTTTTTTTTTTTTTTGAAGCTCTACTTGCTATTTTGTCATTTTAACTTAATTATTTATTGGGTATTTTTGCTCTTCTCCTGTTTACCGATGAAATCATTAAATAACAGAACTAGTTTCTTCAGCTGCTCGATCATCTCGATGAAAATATTAATCACCGGAAAACATTTTTTTTTAGGTGCATCAAACAACTCCAGTGAAGAACACTTGCTAAATCCGTGCGAAACTGTACTAGAGAGGGAGTTTGGGGAAAGATCGAGCTCGATGGAATTGGGCTAGAAAACTCGTTGCTAGAAACATTGAAGTGCTAAGCTTCTTGTAAGGGAACAACTGAACGAGGCCAATGTCACCCAAATGCTTGTTTGTTGACGTGTCAAGGTATCAGGCCCATGAGGGAGAGGGAGGGAGATGAGATGGTGGAAGACGAGGATGAAATGCCATCTTTGGCCATCAACCGTCCCTCTCTTCGATCTATGAGGAACTGCAAGTCGAGGGTGGGTCAGAAAATAACAAGGGCAGATATGTCATTTAAGCAAAATTAAAATTCAAACAAGTCCCTTAAAACTGGAAAACAATTATTACATTTCTTCAGAGGTATTTTATTATCAATCTTCCTTTCTTTTTTAATTCTTGAATTTTGATGATGTTTTTAATATTAATAAATATTCTCTTAACGTGTGGACAAATCATAATTTTGGCCAAGAAAAAAACCAATTTGTATTTTGATTTATTTACCACTTTTTTATATAAATAAATGCATAAATTTTATTTTCAATTAGCCTTTAAAAAGTTTGAAGACACAATTCTATGTACATATTTATACTTTCATTGTATTATTTTAATACATAAATTTTAAATATATTAATTTATTAATCAATAGTTGACCAATTAATCATGAATTATTATTTTTACCAGTTCAATTACTAATCTAATTTTAAAACCTTGCTCACAACCCTTCTCATAGATCACAACCTCCTCCTAGACATGACTCTCCTTCATTGAAGAGCCCCTTCTCCCGCCCTCATATGCACATTTAAATTATCTAAATTAAATTTAGACAATTTAAATTTAAAATATTTAATTTTTATTTATTCTATTCATAATTCATAAAAATTATAAAAAAATTTAATAAATTTGTTGAATTACCAATCTAGATGCTCTAAATTTATATAAATTATCTAAATTTAATATTGATTTTTTTTAATTTTTATAAAATGATCATATAAAATTACTTTGGACGGTGCAAACTTAATATCAATTTTTTTTATAATATTATGATAGTAAAATTTGAAAATAAAGATAATATTATAACATGTAATTTTTAAAAAAATATTTTTTAAAAAAAATCCAAGTTAAAAAAATTAAATTTAAACTTTTTAAGATATATATGGAGATTTATAAAAATTATAAAAAATTAATTAAAATTTGAACCACTTGTATCAAATTAGATAGTTCATCACATTTAATAAATTTTTTTATAATATAAATATAAAATTAAAACATTTAACCTAAACTCTTAAAAAATAAGCCTGGACTATTTATCTAAAAAATAGAAGACTCAGGGAGGGTGGGCGGAGCGAAACCGAGTCCCCTCTCTAGCGCGAAAGCCGTTGCGCGTTAGACACGCGCATCCGTTTTCTACTTTCTTGCCTGCTCGTTGCTTCTTTGCTTGTTACAGGTTTATCCCATAATCCAGATTCAGATTGTGCACACTATACTTTTGAGCAGTCGATGGACCACTTGACCTTGTACCAGAGTTCCGATCTCGCAAACCTGCGTTAACAACAAGAGGGGCCCCGTCGAATCGCACGAGCGCTTGAACAGGGCTTCAACTGGAGGCTCCTCCCTTCTTTCAAACTTCCGCTATTTAGCAGTGATTTCTTCCTCTCTCGAAAACCCACTTCAACAGAAACCATCGCTTCCCCAAATAGTTCTGAAACAGGGTGGGTTCACTCTGCTAAGGAAGCACCGTTCGTTCAGACCTGAGAATCGAGAAGGAGAAGATAAGGGCGTGGGGGGAAAAGAAGATGGTGCCGAGAATCGGAGAGTATGTTCCTTGTGAAAACTGGAAGAGATTGAATTGAAGGAGGCAGAGGAAGAATCAGCTCCGAGAAGTGAAGTACATTAAGGTAATTTCTTCTCCCTCGATACCTGTCTTGCGCTTCGATGCTACTGTTGCTAGATGGTTCTTCTCTAACATGCTCTGGTCGTGGAAGGATTTGGGTCAATTAGATACATGCTCTTGCAATGGGTGTTTATCTTAAAATTTTATTTTATTTTTTCCCCTTCGTGCTCTGGATTGATTTGCAGTGATGGCTTAGGGATCTGAGTTTATTGTCATGCGCGCTCAATAGTTGTCGATTTGTACACAATGATCTTCGATCTTTCTTGGACGACGGGTACAACAAGTGGAGGAGAACGATTGTCGTCGCGGAAGATGATGCAGGAAGTCAAATGGCGTGCCCACCTTCCGACCTCATCAAAGGGTACTCGTCGGTTTCTCGGGCTGATCTATCCTTCATTTTATCTTAAAATATGTACCGTTCATTTTAAATTAATATTGAGTAAATTGGAATGAATTCCCCTCTGTTTCTCTCTATTTTTAAAACTTATATTTTAGTTTAACTTTTCATACATAAGATTTAAAAAAATAATAATAAATTTTTATAAAATATATAAATAATAATTTTTATCTCTTAAAATATCATAATTTTTTATTATAATAATATATATAAATTATTAAATTATCTTTTTAAAAATAATGATTAACAAGTTTTTATTAAATATTTATAATTTTTTTTATATTTATAATAATACCTAATAAATTATAATTTTACATGTTAAATTTTTTTATTTGTTAACCTTATTATAATATAAAAAATTATAAATATTTAAATAAAATTTATAATTATTTATTTTCACAAGAATAAGATTTTTATATTTATATAATTTATTAATACACAGAAAAGTTTTAAAATTTTAAAAAAATTATGATATTTTAAGGAGATTAAATTATCATTTATATATTTTTCAAATATTTTCTTATCATTTTTTACGATATTTCATTAAATATTATAAGATAATTTTTTATTTTTAATTATGTTAAAAAATTTTCCCTTCTTATTTCCCCTTATAACTCCTTTTATATTCTCTCTCTCCCCCTCCTTTAAGAATTTTAAATAATTATGCAAAATAAATATTTAAACTATTGTGTTTAATTAAATAAATTCTATGACTAATTCTTATACCTCCCTGGTTTCCTTCAGTATATTTTTTTCTCTCCATGTTTGAAAGATTCTTTTAAAAAATTTTTATATTTATATTTTTGTTAAAAAATTACTAAATAAAAATTTTAAAATTAATTCAAGTTTCAAATATGAATATAATTTTAAAACATAAGCGCTCTAATTTTTTTGCTATTTTAAATGCTTTTTAGATATACTTTCAAAAGGATATTTTGCTTTCATATCTATACCTTAATGATTCAATAATACTTGGATGGATAAGTATGAATTCTTGAAAATCGAATGGGGGTTTGTATTTTGAAACTATTGATTCTGAGAATATCGGTTTTAAAAATAGAAAGGATGTATCTATAATTAGATAAATTAGAAGGAAGGTCAATGTATTTTACTGATTAATTTTTAATATTTTTAATATTGTATTGTATTATTCAAATAAAAATTTATAAGAATTATAAAAATTTAATATTAATTTTACACTCAAATTAATATAGAATATACTGAATAATTAATTGATAAAATTATATAAAATTTTAATATTAAATTATATAATCTCTAGCAGATTGATAATGAATATGTTTAATATTTTTTATAATTTTATAAATATTTATTTTGATAAATGTAAAATGAATATAAAAAGCTTAAGTCTTGATGTCTAATTCTCATCTATTAAAGTATTTTATATTTAGGCAAAAAACCTATTTTATATTTTTATTTTAATAACAGTTTAAAAAATATTGAAAAAATAAATTTAAAACTAATAGCAAAAATCATAATAAGGTGAAATTAATGGCTCATGTGAGCCCAAAGCAAGCAGGTATGCTTGTTATTATAAAGAAGGTTGAAAGAAAGAAAGAAGAAGAAGAGAATAAAAATTACCTTATCAATTGAAAATTGAGTCTAAAGGATTAGTCCTCGTCATATGATTAATTAAAGTTAAAATTTTTATTAAAAGATATGCTATGTTTAGTATTTAATTTTATCTCGAACATGATTGATTTTAATAAAAAAATATTTAGGAGCATAAATCAACAGTCAACAAGGTCAAACATTAGCTGTGGGTAATATTCTAACATTTAAAAAAAATATTAGGATGATATTGTCCCAAAAATACTAATCATGCCTGCGACCAAAAAATATTTCAGAAATAGATTAGTTCTTTAACCCATCTTTTTACCAATTGTTTTCTTTCTGTTCTCTGATTGTATAAGAATTGTTTCGCATGAGTTACTTTGGCTTTCTTGTGGACTTACTTTTTAACCCCTTTATCCGGGAACAATATTACGTATTACTGTGCGCTAAAATCATAAGCTTAATAGAAGAATAAAAAGAATCATAAGCTTAATAAAAAAACTCTTGTTTTATTTGAATGGAAAGAAAATGGGAGAAAAATAAAAAAATTTTGTTTGGTTGAGGAATAAAAATGAGAAGAAAAAAGTGGAGGAAAAAAGAAAGTGCAAGGCCTATTTTCTCACCATCATTTCTCCTCTTTCTCATCGCCCCCTCTCCTCCACCCTCTCCTCCACTCTTTTCTCTCTCTCGCATTGCCACGGTATCCATTCTTGCTGTGGCCCCCCCTCTTCTTTCTTTTTTCTATCCTCTTCAATCCATCCTATCCATCATCCAACAAGAAATCAATGCCTTTGGCTCCAAATTGCCTTGAAGGATCGCCAATATATGATGTGATTGGTCAGGCCATTTGAAGGAGTTCCATTGGTTGGTTTAATTTATGTGTAATTTCAAGGATTTTTTAACAATAAGTGAGTGTTTTTTAATTGTTTGGTGATTGTGATTTAATTTAATGTAATTTTCTGGAAATTATTTGATTTTAAAATATAAGAATATGAAATTATATTTTTTAACATCTAATTTTATTTTAAATTAATTTGTTATAATTTTGGCTATTAATTTAGTTTTACGAAGATTATTATATAAAACATGATATATTTTAATGTGAAATCTTATAATAATTATGATTTTTTTTTTCTTCTATCCATTTAACAGGAGAAAAGATAATTATTTCTTCTTTTATCATTTTTTTTTCCTTACAACTTTTTCTCCATTCAAGCGTAAGCGTAGGTAAACCAGCAGCTGAATAAGTTGAAGGTCCTTCAGCAATTGCTAAACGATAGTTTTAATGCTTTCCGTTGCCCCAGCTAGTGTGACGTTTTATTTGGCAAGGGGCAGCCGATAGTCTCACTTGTCGTCTGGATAGCAACCGGCCACTCCGGTTTGACCCGTTACTACCTGTAAGAGGGCTATTCTATTCTTCTTCTGTTTATTCGTAATTTTTTTTTGGATCTGGGCAGTAGTTTAGATTCAATTTCTTATACTAATTCCTTCTGTTCTCTGCATTTATTCAAATATAACTTTCAGATTCAAGGCCTTCCTCTGTATGCTGATTATTGAGCCGGTTTATAGGTACGTCGTTAGCTTTCTTCTTTTCTTTCATGTGAACTTCTGCATCTTCATAAATCCGTTTGATCTTATATATTAGCTCATCTCTTGAAAATTTTCAATTTATGGTTTTAGGTTTTCTTTTTGATGGGTGGTCTTATTGTAATTGCAGTGATGTTGAAAACTGTGGATGTTTTTCCTTTCTACTTTATTTCTTGAAACTAACCTGTGAGGTGTGGCTATTGGTAATACCATGATCTGATTCTGGGCTTTGAGCTACCATCCAATACCTGGCCTGTAAACCGTGAACTTCAATCAAATATGTTATTTAATGTTTGCTGGCTCTTCTTCTATTGATGAAGTTTCTGTTCGAGTTTCTAATTTGCTCGGTTATCTTCTTTGATTCTGTTATACTGCGATCAAAGTCCTTCCTATCTTCATCGTGATGAATTCTTGCAATTTCTGTGATGAATTAGAATACTTAGATGTGGTTGTTCTTTTTTCCCTTTCAGGATTAATGCCAAACCTGAATCCTTGATGACATAGTTTTGGACCTTTTGGTTCTGACGGAGAAAGCTCAAACTTCATATCAGAATGGTTTCAGTTGATAACGGGAACCTTAAAGATGAGATCCAGGAATCTAATGAAAGTAAGTTGAAGGATTTAACTTCAACTGAACTCTCAACATCTCGAAAGACGCTTATAAACAGTGAAAATACCCCAAAAAAAATTCATGCCACCTCGAGTGCTTTGCTTGATAGGATAAAATTCCTTAAATTTGGTTCAGCCTCTGCCAAATTCAAGCGGCTTGCTTCTGCCAGGGACCAAATTTCACAGTCTGTGCCTTCTTCTAGTTCACATGGCTTTAGAGAACGATTTACTGGCATTTTTGCTCAAAAACTTGATTGGGATTCACTCAAAAAGAAGTGCCAAGAGTGGATCAGAGACCCAATGAACATGGCCCTTTTTGTGTGGATTACCTGTGTTGCTGTTTCAGGGGCCATTCTCTTCCTAGTCATGACTGGAATGTTGAATGGCGTGCTACCAAATAAGTCTCAGAGGAACGCTTGGTTTGAAGTAAACAACCAGATACTCAATGCATTGTTTACGCTTATGTGTTTGTATCAGCATCCCAAGAGATTTTATCACCTTGTACTTCTGTGCAGATGGAAACCGAAGGATATCTCCAGACTCAGAAAGGTCTACTGCAAGAATGGGACATATAAGCCCCATGAGTGGGCACACATGATGGTGGTGGTCATTCTTCTTCATGTGAACTGTTTTGCCCAATATGCACTTTGTGGCCTAAACTTGGGGTACAAAGATCTGAGCGACCTGCTGTTGGAGTTGGAATATGCATATCTTTCGCCATTGGTGCTCCTGCAATTGCTGGTCTGTACACCATTCTTAGCCCTCTCGATAAGGACTACAATTCTGAGATAGATGAAGAAGCGCAGGTTAACCTTGAGCAGCTGAGAGTGAAATCATTTACGAAGAAATACTCATTTGCTTCAAGAGGTGAACGATTGGTAATTGAGAATAGACCACAGTGGAGTGGAGGAATAATGGATATTTGGGACGACATTTCTCTAGCATATCTCTCACTTTTCTGTACTTTCTGTGTGTTTGGGTGGAACATGGAGAGGCTTGGCTTTGGAAACATGTACGTCCATATTGCCACTTTTGTTCTATTCTGCATGGCTCCCTTCTGGATTTTTATCTTGGCTGCTGTTAATATCGATGATGATAGTGTGAGACAGGCTATGATCGGTACTGGAATTGTTCTGTGTATATTTGGTTTATTGTATGGTGGATTTTGGAGGATCCAAATGAGAAAGAGGTTCAATTTGCCTGCTTATGACTTCTGCTTTGGTAAACCCTCAGTTTCTGATTGCGCACTTTGGCTGTGCTGCTGCTGGTGCTCTCTTGCTCAAGAAGCACGTACTGGAACTCCTATGATGTTGTAGAAGATAAATTCTACGGGAAGCCAGATGATATTAGTGTCAAACCACCGATTTCGCCTTTGCCTCGTGAAGATGCAATTTCTCCTGCGGGAATCAACTTCTCTCCTTCCAATGTCGGAACATCTAGGCCTCTTGCTCTAATTGGTATCCCAGAGGGATATTATAGTCCAGACAAGCCATTATCTACTGTAAGGGAGGAGTCTTGAAAGAGGTCGAGATGGAGAAATGAGCCCACCAACTCCACCTGTTATACACAGAGAAGCCCTGTAGCCTCCAAATAAAAGAATATGGATTGAGATTTCCCCTCCTCTTGGAACGTAAATCTTACAGCAATTCCATGGGATGATCCATAGAATTTTTTAGCAGAGTCCTTAATAGGTCATGCTTGCGTCTCTTATTAGCAATTTGATTTTTTCATTGCTCACCTCTTTCACGTTAATTGTCCTGTATAGTATATGGAAAGCAAAATACCATGTGAGATGATTGTAGAAAGCATTTGGGTGCTAGCCTTTGTTGTGTGAATGTGGGATGTTAATTGATGACTCCACATTTACGACCAGAGTTGATTTCCTACTCAAATTGAAGGCATGACTTCATAAGAAGAATAAAGTTTCCATGCTAATCTAAAGAACATTGGCGGCAGAGACATTGATAAATGGTCATAACTGATTGATAAATGGTTATAACTGATACAGCTTTTCTTTTTGTTAAACCCAACACGCCGCGCGTCCCTTGTATCTGTATGTTGCTTCGCCTTGAAACGTTCAACATCAGCAGATTCGTTGTGTGTTGCTATAATATTTCACATATCTTATCTTTTTAAGATATTTTTTTTTCATTTACTGTATTGGATTATTTTTCAGAATACTAAAAGTAGTTTATAAAAATAATCAGAATATTTTTTTCATATTTTGATTATTTTAAAAATGCAAACAAACGTTATATAAAGTCACATAATAGATTTTAAAAAAATCAATATTTTTTTTATAAAATAAATTGAAACAAAGGAGCCCATAATCTAATATTGTTATAATCATCAAACTCTCGAGTTGACTATTTAAATTTAATATTTTTATATTTTTAACTCATAAAATTGTGTTAATTAATTTATAAATTCAAATTGGATGCAAGCTTGACTAAATTTATTAAGCTCGGTCATTTTTTTTAGTTGAGTAAATTGAATATATATTATGAAGAATTTAGTTTATAAAATTTATAGAATCTGGCTCAAAGGGAAAAAAACTTGAAATGCAAAAACATTAATATTAATAAAAAAGAAAATAAAAATATAAAAAATAAGTTTTCCTATTTTAAAACTTTTATGCCTTGCATATGATTATTTATCAATGTAAATGTGTTTAATTTCATAATGGGGGGTTTGGGTATATTTGCATCATTAAATATTGTTGAGGAATGACACATTTTCTTGGGGTATTAGGTACAAAAGGTCATTTTTAACTATTTTAAAAAGTTTTTTTAAACTTTTTAAATAGTACTCCTTCTATTTTAAATTATAAAATATTTTTAAATGAAATATTATATATCAATTAAGTTCATTAAATATATTTTATAATCTTATTTTTTCAAGAAAAAAAATAACTTTTAAAAATACCCTTCATTTAATACTCAATTGATAAAATAATATTGAAAAGAGAGAATATATAAAATAATAATATTAAAAAAAATTATTAATAAAATTTTATTTTTATTAAAGTATTTTATATTTCATTATTTTAAAATATTAAATTTTTTTAAAAAATATTTTATAATTTAAGATGAAAAAATATTATATTTTAATATAATAAATGCAACCCAAAAGCTGAATTTGGTTTGGCCATGTCTGTTACTTGTCTGTATAATTATTATAGGTCATTCTCGTGATGTGTGTTTATTTTTTAAGACGAACTTACATTGATTCAGATTTGAACTGCAACTAGCATTAAATATATCTTATGATCCGAGCCTGAGCTCTCCGCTTTTCCCGGCGTGTCTCGTAAATGGCCCACAGGAATGCGATTCGATCGATCAGTTTGCATTGTGTAGTGTTTTAGAATCTTTCGGCACTTATATTGAAATTAAATCGATTCTCTGCACTTATATGTCATTTCTCCCTAATCCCAATTGACAGTTTTAAAAGCCAAAAACATTACTAGAAAAATTAAAATTAATGATAAACATTTAGTATAGGTATTAGTGACCAAAATTTGTAATGGACCAAAAAATATTACTAATTACATAAATTAGTGACAGATATAGAATGTCATCACATTTTGATTAAATTTTATAAATTTAACGATTAATTTAAATCCATCATTAAATTTTTTATTAGTGAAAAATATTTTTAATTAAAAAATTAGTAAATAAGATCAAATATTTTAGAGGTTACATTAAAAAAATCTTCAAAATTACCAAATTAAATAATTACACAGATAAGTTTCTCTTATTATAAGTAAAATATACAAGGTAAATATATAAAAAAATAAAAAAATTCTCTTATTATGTATTTTAATATAAAATAAAATTATTACCATATGAAAATATTTTAATTATAACATAAATAGTATAAAATGATATATAAAAATATTTATTTTCAAAATATATATTATTTTGTATTAAATAATATAGTTATTAACTAATAATAAATATTGAATTATATATTTATATGTTAATATGTGTGTATGATAATATATTATCAACATATTTAAATAATACTATATTAAATATATAAAAATTCATTTATGTTAAATATATGATTTCAACTAAATAATATATATTAAATTTTGTATATTAATAATGAAAAGTAATCACAATCATATTGGCAAAAGGCACGAAAAGATAAAAGTCTTTGAGTTCAAAAAATTTAATGTCACATTGAAAGAGAATTAACATAGAGTGTTGACATGACAATGACATAGCATAAAGGTTCAAGTGATGATGATATGACAGGTAGCGAGTGATATGTGCGGTGGTATAGGAAGTGATATAGTAGTAATTGAACCTGTAAAAAAAACTAGTTATAAAATAAATTAGTAACGAAATTTTATTAATTAGTGATAGAAACTTTCCATCATTAAATTAGTGATAGATGCATTTTGGTCACTAAATTAATGAATCTATTTTGTAATGAAAATTAGTAACCAACAATCCGTCACTAAGGGTCTGTTTGGATTTCAGTTGGGTATAATAGATTATAAAAATAATTGATTAAGTGATAGATTTTAATTATAATTGATTATGTTATAATGTAATCTGTTTGGATACTATTTTTCTAAAATTAATTTTAACAAAATTGAAGATATTTGAATAATTTAATCAAAATTAATTTTTAGCTATATAAATTATTATATAATTTAATTTTTAAATATAAAATATTAATTTTTTTAATATACAAAATTTAAATTTTATTAAAAAAAAAGAAGATAGTTTAATTTTATTTTTATTAAATTATGTGCTTTTTTTGTAATTTTTTCCTGAGTCTATTTTTGTAATTTTCCCCAACATTTTTAACAAACGTCTATCGAAAAGCTGATCGAAGTAGCTTATGGGAAAACACGGGTCAAAATTGATTTTCATCCTTTTCTGACCATTTGATTAATTTACTGAAAAAATCAGTTTTGGAAAATTAATTTTTTCCCCTATCCAAACACACACTAAATCTAAAATCAGCAATGAATTTTGCTTATTAGTTATAAATTTATCTGTTACTAATTTTGTTTTTTTTAGTAGTGGAAGCAGGAAGAAGCTGATGGATCACTCTGTTTATCAAGGGCTTTTCTTAGAGTTAAGGCTTGCAGGGGGTGATAATCAGAATTCTGATCATAATTAGCCACGTCCATCATTTCTTTTCAGTACTATCCATACATCTGGAACTTGGCGCGCCGTGATTTGCTTGACCTGCTGTACCTCACCATGGATTCCCTTGGATGCTCACACTCTTGATTACATCAAAATTAAAAGTGCAAGTCACCGTCGTTTGCTAGTGATCGATCTTATTCGTGTCAATCGCTGTCCGATGAATTGAATCGAATATATCTTAGTGTCGCACAAAAAGTTGATAAACAAATCTCCCGTGCATATTTAATTCACATATTATCCTTTTGTTGTGTTAAGAGGAATTGATTTTTTTGACTTTTACTCATACCTTACCTTGTTCATCATGTCACCCCTCCCGTCTTTCTCGTCTTGTTTCTCTACCACCTTCGCTTATTGCCCCAGTTTACGAGGATATATTTATATACGTATAGGGTCAACTGAATTGAATATGCAACGTGCCTCCATCGAATCTGTGGGTTAGAGTGTGTTCCGTTGTTGCTGCTTTTTTCCCCCGGGGAGGGGTAAGCTTTTGTCTTTTTGTCTTCTACACATGTTAATCACCGTCCTAGTTTTAATTCGTCATCTTTCTAGGAATGATGAACTTGTGCAGATTCCTATATTACCTAATTATATTCGAAAATGAAAATTTGATTCAGATGAAAAAAGATTCGATTCGATGCTTGGACACCCATAGTCTGATGAATAAATGTTATGATGAGTAGATGATTCCAATAGAGCAATGTGCTAAGGATGATTGCATTTGTGATCAATTGGGGAAATGAAAGATATACAAAGCACTTCTACTGATGAGACCAGCTTGCTATCTGTAAACTAAGGGTGTTTTCTTGTTCTTATGTCCCAAGAATTCCTCCCTCGTCTGTATTGCTGTCTAATCTCCATCGAAGGATCAGCCACAAGTAAAGTCAAGGCTAATCAATTTTCTTTTTTCTTAAGTAATAATCAAGGCACTGCACTAGGATGACTAATTCATGTACTGATCTCCTTACGTCACACCATGATAAATTTATGATTTACAACAATTGATAAGAGATAATATGATTCCATTGAAATACTCTCTAAAAAACACATGCACGCATTCTTTTGTCCTTACGGTTACATAGAAATTTGTTGACAATTCGACTCGTATTTTAGGGGTGCGACTTTGAATCATGATTCTCATAGCAGTGGAGGACCCTGCTGCTATCTACCTTCTCGTTGGTCCTTTCTCCATTCCCATGGCTTTTCAGGATTCGATGAAGCCCATAATCCAACTCGCTTTGCCCTAGCTTCTTTTTCCCACTATAATATAACAACAAACAACATCTAATGAGGGAAAACACGAAATAACTTCCAATTAATATTTAAGATTTTGGCAGAGCATGAGTTACTGACTATTGCTAATTCCTCTCTCTTGTCATAGGCTGTATAATGCCATGCAAACCCCTTCTTTAGCATCAATTCCTTATCAATCAACCAAAAAGGACAAGAAAACTTAGTTTTAAGTCTGACAGAGTTTAAGCAAGCTAGATTAGAAGCAGAGTGATACCTGTACAAAAAGACCATTGCAATAAATATCACCCACGACGCGTCCATAACGATCCTCATCATAGACAAGGACCCTCAAAGACCTTCCTTGAACAATCCTTGTCAGCTCATTTTTAGCTTCTTTCCCATATGGCATTTTACTCTCCGGCGCATCGATTCCCCTGTTTTTCTCTTATAATATGCATTAATTATTAGCGACCCTCCCACAACAACTCTGAGTATTCTAATCAATTTATATTTGAGGATTACCTTAACCGAATTCTATACTTCCGAGCCAGGACTTCCTCGTTTTGAAGATTAATCACCCTGAACAAGAAAAGTTTTCTAAGCTCATTTCCAATTATAAACACAGACAATTAGCATTAGAAAGCTAAAACACCAACCGATATCCCGAATCAATGATTTGCTGGTGAAGAGCATCAGCCTCTGTATAGTTTCGTCGAGAACGAGCTTCTGATCTTTGAACTGCTGCCGCATGGACATGACTAGGGACAAAAGATGACTCTCTAGGGTCTGATGTGCTGACATAAACTGTTATAGTATCACCATCCGCCACTGCTTTCGCATCAACCTATAGTTTCATTGACACAATCAACTAATTTAAATACATCCACTTGCTTGAAAAATTTACATAAACAGACCACATTTATTTAAATACAAAGTTTTTAAATTTTTAAAATTTCATTGCAGTTTAAAGTTATTGATTTGATATTAAATTTCTAAAGAAAATGATAAAGTTACGCTTTATTTAAATTAATATTATAACTGTCCTACTTTACTTATTTATTTACCAATGAAATATTGAAAATTGCCCTACTTCACTTATTCATTTTCCTTGAATAAAATTAAATGAAAGTCTGTTAATAAATAAGTAAAGTAAGGCAATGAACAATAGTCCACAAATAAATCAACGAGATACGGTATAGGAATTAATAAGTTGTCTTAAGATGATTTAAACATCTAAAATGAAAACAAGTCAAGTAGGATAATCAAAAACATTCTGTAAATAAATTAACAAATGAAATAGGACAATGAACAAGTGAATTAGGGAAATTCTTATATTAATTTAAATGAGGGGCACTTTTGTCATTTTTTTAAAAAAAATTAATATCAAATCAGTATTCTACATTACAGTATAATTTTAAAAAATTAGAAGCTTTGAATTTAAACAAGTGTGGTCAAGGAATTTTTACTGAAATTCTCCCTTAAATTTATATTGCACAAAGATATGATGTTCTTACCGGTAAAGTGTGCAGTTCAAATCGTACTCCTTCAGGCAAGGATGTAGGGGGTTCAAAAGTTGTTTCGACAAGGGCATGAGGTTGGGGCAAACCATAAAAAGCCAACAATCCCTGTACGTAATATTAAGCAAGCAAGGATGTTAGTTTACGTTCTTGATATTAAGCCAACAATTTTTTTTTTGTACCTTAACGTCAGCCTTCTGATGTCTTTCAAGAGTCTGAATAATGAGCCTAGCTGCTTCTTCAGGGTTCTTGGGAGGGGGTTTTGATTCTTTCCATGCATCTACTAGTTTTCTATACCTGCACATTTTGTTAAAATCATTTTTAAACAAAACCGTCTTCTGAGCCGAGGGATTTACTATTATTTTTTATTTTTTATTTTCCTTTAGAGTTGAAACAGATACAGGTTAAATTACCAGTTAGCTTGTGCCTTCTTTGATGACACAACATGCTTGCTTAGTCCTTCGGGGACCTTAACAAAGTCCAAGGAAAAATAACCGTGAGAATCGGTGTTAAATTTTGAAAGGACTCAACTAACATTATACTATTTTGAAGCCTCAAATTTGTAAACTTCTGAGCAAAACACAATGATATGTTAAAATTAAAGAAATGAGACTATATCAAAGAATTAACTGAATCCACCAATTATAACTAAAATTATACATTTATCACTATAAACTAAGAAAGCGAAAACCTCCGCAGAAACATTGACAAGTTGACAAAGGACCTCATGCTCCTCTTCCTAGCAGCCGATTCTTCCAAGTTTATCAGAACAGGAATTTGATGTATCCTCAGATTACAGCAGTTCATGAACCAATTGCAGATCCTAGTCAAGATTCTACGAAATTAATTTGGACACCAGTGAATTTTGCTTTTCCAAGCTTTTCCTTTTTTTTTTTGGCATTTTACGACTTTCTTTTCCCAGCTGAACCAGACTAGATTCAATGTTTTTAAAAGTCCTAGAGGTAAAAAAAAGTTGCAGAAGTAGTAGAATGGATTTGAAAGGAAATTGAAGAAGGCTCATGATTACCTAAAATATTTGAAAGAAGAAAAGAGAGAAAAAAGGCTGCTAATATAGGGAATCGGAGAAGAGGAAAGGAATTAAGAAACCTGAGAGGTGATATCAAAGTGGAAGAGATCTTGGGCAAGTGCGGATACACCGACGGTGGCCGAGGAAACGCCGTGAGGACCAAGTGAATCGGAGTCACCAGCTGTGGTGTGCTCAAAGCAACGGCTGTACAGAAGTCGGAGAGCATTTCCCATGTCTCTCCTTCTGATTCAATTCCACAGGTCAAGCAGAGATCCAATCGAGCAGATTAAGCAGGACCGTCGAACATCGTGTCGCTTTTGGACTCGCCAGCAGAAAGCAAGATGATAGGTGGCGCGTTATGACTGGTCATAGCTTTACTGTGGTAATTTCTACCAGAAGTGAAATTTCTGCGTCAACCAGTTGGCGTGCGTTGACGGGAACAAGGGGAAGCCACGCTCCATTTCCAGAGCGTGTGGAGGGTGAATGAATACTCGTAACCTAATCTGTCTTTTTGCGCGTTTTGTCGTTTCGTTATGAAAATCTCGTAGTCTGATCCGGGATGCTCAATTCTGTTCCGAGATGCCCTGTCGATAACAGAGACACCTATCAAATGTTGAGTCACTGACTCATTTCACCTCGTTCACTTTAAAGTCAATTTAATATTAAATAAAAATTAAAATATTTTAAAATATAACTATAAAATTAAAAAGTGATTTAAAAATAATTTTAGATAAAAAAATTATAATACCCTGCTTTTCTTCTTTACATTTATTAATTAGAAAATAATTTTTTATTAAATACTAACAAATATTTATTAATTAATAAATGATTACTTACTAAAATGTGATCTATACTTATCCTATCTCACAATTAAAATTTTTCATATTTTTAAATTTTTAAATTAGCAAATTAAATATAAATGAGTATTTATTAATTAATGAATAATTACTTTTTAAAATATGATTTACATTTATCCTTTTTCAAAACTAAACTCTTTTAAATTTTTTAACTTGATAATTAGCGAATATTTTTTGCTAAATATGAATGGGTGCTTGTTAATTAATGAATGTTTATTTATTAAAATATGAAATACTCTCTCCGTCTCAAATTATAGCACACTTTTAAAAGAGTTTATCCGATCCAAAATCTAAGACATTTTGAATAAATTAAGATTTTATTAAATGTATCAATTTTAATATTATCTTTTTTTTATAATTAATTTCCGTCCTTTTTCTTTTCAATATATTAAATTATGAATATTTTTATAATGAAGCTTATTAGTATATAAAATTATATTTAAAAGTGTTTTATAATTTAGGATGGAAAGAGTATTGGAAAAGCGTAGTTCATTCACTTACCAATCAAATGTTGTGTTGTTTCAAAAATCCACGGAGATAGTTTGTAACACACCAAAATTTTTTTTTTTAAATAATTTAACTCAACCATAGTTGGGTTACAGCCACCCAACACATTTTTATATCAATAATTTCGATATAAAATATTTTATAATCGGCTTCAACTCACACACTATAACATTTCAGATAAATTTTTACCTCCCACATGCCATTAGGCTAAATCACATTTGTCCATCCTTATACTCCCAACAAGTAAACTAAATCACATTTGTCCATCCTTATACTCCCAACAAGTAAAATAAGCAATTTAGTCAATTTTCAACACAAGCCAGTTATTTGGCCTTATAATCATGCCATTTTAACCAATCCAAAGTAAACCAAATATTAAAATTACAGTCATCCAAATTGTACCAAAAATAGAAATAGTTTGAAAGGCATGATTACATTTATATATTCATATAATTGACAATAAACAAAAAGCCCTAATATTGGCAATATAACACATTATAAATCATAAATTAAATACCCAAAAGAGACAGTGGATCTATACCACTAAGCCTCTGGGACTCCTCCACGTGTCACTCGTGGCTCTTCTCCTGAAAATTGTTAACCACATAATGAGACTCAAAAGTCCCAGTAACCAAAGCCAATTTATGATAGTGTATACAAACAGTTAAGTGTGTACTTATTAAGTGAAAATTAAAAATAACATAATTCCAACAAATATAAGAAATATTACAATACACACAAACAACCATCCTTATATCCCTCCATTAACCTCGAGCCGTAGCCCTCACTCGGTGCTAAATTACCCGGCCAAAGGTAGATTAGCCCGAGCCCTTACAAGCCACCTATTGAGCTCCAATAGGGGCGTACCACGTGGCACATAAATACAACAATAATAGCAAGTCTCCCAACACGTCCCACAATAATTAAACAAATTCATAATAATATTGCACAATTATACAATATTACAAAATTCATAATTTTCTCAATAATCACCCAATTAACAAGAAGTAACACTAATCACAAATTAAAAGCATGGTTACCTTGTGGCTTTTTTAATAAATTATTCCTTAAAATTTTCTCTCACCACAATCTTCACCAGTAATACAATCTACAAATAACATATTATTTATAAATATTAGTTTCAATTTTTGAAACTAATAAAATAATTCTAATAATAGAATTAAAAATATAACATAATTCCTAATCTCAATCTTAATACAAATCTATAGTTAATACTATTAAGTAAAATTTTTAACTCCTCTTTTAATTATCAATAAACATTAATAATCTAAAAATCAAATTTTAAACTAATTTCTATTATCAAAATTTTCTTTTTATTTTATAAATTCGTACCTAAAATACCCAAAAATTAAAAATTAAGTCTCTAGCTTAGAATCATAATCCTATAACCATAATAATTTATTTCTCATCCCAAATAATCATCTAAACCTCAATAAATCAACATATATTTTCAGATCTAGTTTAGAATTTGATCCATAAGCCACAGATTCAAAGATCATCAATAAATTTATACTCTAGAACATTTATTATACTACTGACAACCTCAAAAATCATATTTATTCAACATAAATTCATCCCTCTTCCAGATCTTAAATTTTCTACCACTACAAACTCAGAAAATAAAGAAGAAGGATGACTAAGAAAAATTTTTAAAACACTTACTTAGTCTTGAAAAGCTTAAAATCACACCCTAAATATCCTATTAAAAACTCTTACCTTAAAACCCAGCACCGGTGAACTTGGCTCACAGATGCTCTCTCTGCCTCAGCTCACGCACGAAAGAAGGAATGAAGAAATGAAGGAACAGGTGAGTTTTTATAAAAATTCAGTGGGTCCCATACATTTTTTTTATTCTTTTCTCTCTCTTCTTTCTCTCTTTCTTTATTATTATTATTTTACTATTGTTACTATTGAGGCGGCCGCACGTTTTCTTCCTTCTTCTTCTTTTTTTTTTTTGCAAACCTTTTCTTTTTTTTATAATAATAATTTAATAATATTTTTTTATTTTTTTTATTATTTTTTTTAATTTAATTTTTTTTAAAATTATATCCTAAGTTAGATTTAATAATCATCTCTTACTAATTTTCTTACCTCTAAATATTATTTTTTTAATCTAAATTAACTATTAAAATTTAAATTGGGATGTTACATAGTTTGTTTGAAGATTCTTGTTCTTTGAATACATGCAGTTTATTCTTCCAAGTTCCAACCAAACTTCAATTTTTTTAAGATCAATCTTTATTATTTTTGATGCGGAAGTTAATTAGAGCTGTATGTATTCTCTCTCACATCGGGGACAAAAGAAACAGCGATTTAAGATGCTAGTGTTACACGGAAGCTTCAAGCCTCCGACAGTGTTTAACGTCCTTCAATAAAAGAGAAAAAGGCTTCCTTGTGAAGTTGTTTGTGGTCGCTTTACTTAATTCGCAAGTATTGAACCTTGATGTTTAAAATAAAACTGGACCAAAAAATGCTACTCCTTCCACCTCAAATTATAAAATATTTTTAAATAAAATTTTATATATTAATAAATTTTATTAAATACACTTAATAATTTTATTTTTTTAAAATAAAAATATAAAATTTTTAAAATATTTATAATTTAATATATTAAAAAGAAAAGGGATGTAAATTAATTATAGAGAGAGAAATGATAGTATTAAAATTAATGCATTTAATAAAACATTAATCTATTCAAAGTATCTTATATTTTGAAACGTAAAAATTCTTTTAAAAATGCTTATAATTTGAGACGGATGGAATATTATTGAACTGAACAATAATAGTATAGTGTCAGACGACAAACACATAAACCTTTAGACCTATATATATAACACAACACAAACAACAACTTATTTACTAATTGGGCTGAAGCCCATACTTATTATTGAGCTCAATACTCCCCTTCAAGTTGGAGTTGTACAAATCAAAAACTCTCGACTTATCAATTAGATACTTGGGTATATCTCCTTCCAAATGCCTTAGTCAAAATGTCAGCTCGTTGATTGTATAATCTCATATACTACAACCTAATCAGCTTTTGTTGAAGCTTCTCCTTTATGAGACGACAGTCTATCTTAATATGCTTTGTTCGCTATGAGACACTGGATTGGTCACTATATGAATAGCAGCCTTACTATCACAATGAATCTCTATTGGACCCAATTGATGAATACTCAGATTAGTCATCAGACTCATAATCTACATTGCTCCTATAGTAACATACATCGATGAGTTACATAATAAATATGAGTCACTGCTTTGCATAAAACTTAAACCATGAGCTATTCAAAGTGGTTTTGTTAGAATTTTTATATTAGAGTATAAATATATAGATTGATCGTTGGCACAGCAACACCATTGGCCGCAAGCATGGCAGGTGAACTCGTGAAGGTATGGCTGTGTGTAATGTTTGAATCATTATTGTCAAACGCTCAAGTTAACTCTCTAAATTTATTATTTTTATATTTTTAGATTATAAAATTATGTTAATTCATTCATAAATTCAAATCAAATAAAACTCAATCAAACTTGTGAGTTGAGTCATTGAATTTTTTTTTTTACATTTCTAACTAATAAATTATGTCAATACACTCATAAACTTGCCGAGCAAGATAAATATATTATGTAAAACTTGGTTCGTAGAAGAGGCAAGACCTGGCTCAATGAAAAAATAAAACAAAAAAAACTAATATTAATAAAAAAGAAAACAAAAAATACCAAAAATAAGTTGCCCTATTTTAAATTTTATATGTTCAATATAATAATCTATGAATGTATATGAATTTAATTTTAATAATTTATATTTAGAATATATTTAAATTAAATTATGGTCACATTTTATATTTTAATTATTTAATCATATAGTTTTAAAAACTATTTATTAGTAGAGGTAAACTCTTAAGTATTTATGATTTGAGTCTACGTTTTGAGTTT